ACTCGATGTTCGTACCTTTGTTATTGAGGCATAATATTTGGTCCTGCGAAGTTGGTTTTGGATTTTCACGATTTAATAAATTCTGCTAATGCAATTTCTGCCTTGTCATTACAGGAACATTCTAATGGGTTCGGATTGTCAACTGCCATATCAGAATGACTGGCATGGGGTATGCCACCATTGGTTATATCTGTTGGAACTTTTTATAAGGGCTTCTCTTGCTTTATTGTCGTTTTTTGTGGTTGTAACTTCTTTTAATTTTCTAATACTCCCCTTGGCTTCTACAGGCAATGCAACTTCCTTGAGATTGCATCATTGGAGCAGATTCTAACGGTCGAATTGGAGCAGTAGTCCGCCGAGGCCTTGCATACGCTAGAGTCCAGAATAAGCCACTCTAACCCATTTCTTCTATATTCACTTGTAAACTATTTCTCGTCCACCTGTTCCTGATGAGATATTCTTGACAGGTGAAGGGCGTGAGAGCAAAGGACAGTCGGAAGCGATATGGATGCGGAAGCTGTGCAGGTATGCATTTTTTTTACAATGTCTGCATACCTAAATTATATCATTTTTGGAAGGCAAGGTCTGTCAGTCGTTGCAGTGGCTATAATATCCTTGGGTCTTATGAGTGCAGGCACGGAGAATGCTCGACTTGCAGGCAAGTTCTGCAAGCTCTCACGGCTTTACTATGAGGAAGCTGGTCCAATCTTCCGTGTAAGCTTCTCAACTCTCCACTTCATTATGTGTCCTCTTTTGTGTGTATGGCTTTCTAATTCGCTCTGGTTAAATGCGTACTTTTAGACTCCTCGAGGCGTTGCTACTTTTGGGGAGGGCATTCCGACTATATCGCGCCATACTATTGTTTCCGCTTTCCGTTAATAATGTAAGTATATCTGACACATCCCTTGCTTAAAAGACTTCCATTTTCTTTTAATTCCTTCGGATAAGTGACTGACTATTTCTCGTCATGCTTTGAATGGTGACTCGACCGGAAATTGGCCGCCATTCAAGATAGGGCTGTCAACGGTTGGATCCGGGTCCGGTCTTGGTAGAAACACTCCCGAGTAGATCATTAATTGGGACAAAACCCTAGACCCAAAACTTTCCATTTTAACTTAAAATTTAGGTTGAAACATAAACATAGGTTTAAAACCGAACCATTTAAGCTAAAAGACACCACTTTTCTTATTTAAATCTCAAATTAAAATTTAAACTTTAGTCATATATCGTTAATAAAATTGATAGAAAAATACTAAGTTACTTATATGTTAAAACGTCAGGAACCTTTATTTATCTATCTATGTATCAGATTCGACACTTTAAACCTATGATAAGAGAGAAACCGTAAGAAAACGAAGGAAATAATATATATGGTTAACAAAATAGTCGGTTTTGGGCATGAATCGATTCGGGAGGGGCGAGTACCGGAACCGGCCCAATTATTTATTTCAACATAAGCATGGAGCCGGATCCTTTATAAATGGTTGGGTCGATTCGGGCCAGCCGGGTAGRCCTGAACCGTTGACAGCACCTTCAAGAACATGAACAATGGTAGCGATTGTGTTGCAGCAAGCTTGGTATCGCTTTTCCTTCTCTCTTCGGACCTGTACTTCGAGGTAAGGACCTTTCAATACCACGCTCGATGTTCGTACTTTTGTTTCTGAAACATAAGATTTTGTCCTGCGAAGTTGGTTTTGGATTTTCACGAATTAGTAAATTCTGCTAATGCAATTTCTGCCTTGTCATTACAAGAACATTCTAATGGGTTCGGATTGTCAACTGCCGTATCAGAATGACTGCCATGGGATAAACCACCATTGGTTATATCTATTGGAACTTTTTATAAGGGCTTCTCTTGCTTTATTGCCGTTTTTTGTGGCTGCAACTTCTTTTAATTTTCTAATACTCCCCTTGGCTTCTACAGGCATTGCCACTTGCATGAGATTGCGTCATTGGAGCAGATTCAAACGGTCGAATTGGAGCAGTAGTCCGCCGAGGCCTTGCATACGCTGSAGTCCAGAATAAGCCACTCTAACCCATTTTTTTCTATATTCACTTGTAAACTATTTCTCGTCCACCTGTTCCTGATTAGATATTCTTGACAGGTGAAGGGCGTGAGCGCAAAGGAGACTCGGAAGCGATACGGATGCGGAAGCTGTACAGGTATGCGTTTTTTGTACAATATCTGCATACCTAAATTATATCATTTTTGGAGCAGTAGTCCACTGAGGCCTTGCATATGTCATAATGTACATCATGCTGATTGGAGCTAAGGGCATACAATGTCTAACAAGAATTTTATTGTACTAGAAAAATATGACACAAATGTTAATACAAGTACAATGGAGCTGGCCCAATTGCTACTCTCCCCACGCATCCCATCAATCCCTATATACAGACAACATTCCATACATTAATATTATTAACCACTGCATTGATTTGAGGCACTTCTACGTATTTGATTGAGCTAAACATTTATAGTAATTAGGTGCCAGAAGTGACTTTACTTTCACCAAATTCCAGTCAAACTTGTTTTTTGTAATAAGTTTGTTTCTGATCTTTTATGGCACTGAACAGAGTAGAATGGTGGAAGAGGATTCATGTTGTCTGCTATTTGTGTATATAAAATCAAGAAGGGTGTATAATATGGAACATTATAAAAGAAAATGAAGTAGAGGTCAAGCAAAAAGGTATATGAGCTTGCCATGGCAGTGAAGACCCACTTTACAATGCATCCTGGTTGGGCCCCCATTTTAGCTAGATCATCGGCAACAACATTCAAATCCTAGAAATGTGCCTCAATACAGTTGGAAAAACCCAAAGAGAGTCTGAATTTCATTAAGCATGTGGAGATATCTCCACAGACCTCCTTCAAATCCTATACCAACCTAATTGTATATGGTAATCCCTTTCAATCAGGACAGATAAAGAGCTTAATCCCATGGTGACCCAAAACCAAAAAGAAACACCATTATGTTCACCTCTATAAATGTGTTCTGGGTTCCAAAGGTTTATCAGCTGACATTTAATGTACATGAATATTACTTATATACTCATGAAATTGTTTGGTTCATTCAGGATACAACTTCATACTTCCTATATAGTATGTTTTAGAGAATTAATTATTATTTTTTTCAATTTTTAATTTCAGAACCATGTTATAACTCCAGAAAAATGGAATTCATGCAGGGAGCTATTGTAAGTGGAAACCATGCAGATATTGTTGTATGGGAACCTGATGCTGAATTTGAACTCAATGAGAACCATGCTAGATACCATAAGCATCTTGCATGTTTTTTTTCTTACATGTGCTTTTCTTGTTACTAAGGGAAAAATGATCAAGTTGATGCTTGCCAGCTTGATTAAACAACTTCACTTTTTACATGATGCCTGGATTTCACAAAATGAAAAACAAGTGTTCCCTCTAGTTTATTTTTTCATTGTTTACTATCATTAATTAAGCCCAAAATATGTAGCAAATGGATCATATATTTCTCATGCTCTGTTTTGATTCTTCCATCACAGTTTCTGGTCTTAATGATCTGTGTCCCACAGGTTACTGGAAATGCTTAAGATTGTGGCCTTCAGTTATACCATGGTCCAATATGTCTTAGGATTGAAAAGTTAACCAAAGAATTCTAGCATTTCTTACTTGATTGTGTTTTCCTCTGTGCACAGAATATCTCGGCCTACATGGGAATGAAACTATCTGGGAATGTTTTGGCAACTTTTGTGAGAGGGAACCTTGTCTACAGTGAGGGGAGACATCCTCTCGCTGCTTGTGGTGTTACGATCCTTGCAAATTAAAGGGATAAGTTGATGGTATGCCATAGAGCCATTATTTAAAGTTCGGTTAGACTTGGTTGGATTAGAAAACATCATTCCTATAGGATTTGGACACCATACTTGGAATCCACCTCAACTTCATCAACTTCCTTAACATAATTGTTATTTCAACATTTTCCGGTTGAGGTAGGGCTTCCTGTATCCTGATTGTAGCCAATGAAAGTACCTCCCTTTTATTGATTTTTGTGCAGAAATTTCTAAGAACTATTCATAGGCAACAAGCCAACCCAGAAACCTCTCCTAAAATCCTTAAAATTCTGGCTCTATGACCTATAATGATCAGACTTATTAGTTTCCCATGCATGCTGCTTATCCTAGTTGTGCATGGGTATCAAACATAGAGAAGAGAGAATGGCCAAGATGGATCTCTTGCCCTCCAATAAAAATCAAATACACCTTTTTGATTTTTCCTTGATTTTTGAGGGTAGGCCTTGGCACAATGGTTGGGTTTGCTCCATTGCCACCTGGGTGATCGGCGTTCAAATCTTGGAAACAGTCTTTCTGTGCAGGGGAAAGGCTGCGTTCTTTTGTCCTTCCCCAGACCTGCATTGGTGAGAGCCTTGAGCACAGGGATACCCTTTTTAAACCAATTCAGAAATCTTTCTTAAAATCCTTAAAAAATCATTACAACTAGGATAAAATATGATTGCACCACAAGATGTCACTATTACTATAGAGAACTAAATGTTTTACATGTAAAGACAAAATATATATATATATACATTAGTTGCTTTTCTTGTTCGAAAACTTCTGTATTCTTTTTTGCATCTTTTTTTTTTTTGTTTTTCAAAATATAAAACACTTGTAGTTAAGTTGTTCATATGTTTGCAGCTTTTGTTTTGATTCTGGGTGATCTAAACTCCAAAGATATTACTTGCACATATATATCTAGTGTTGAAATCATAGTCACTATCATGATAATTGTGTTTTTCCTTGTTATGACATGCAACCTCTTGGGTTTAGAAATCCATTTGTCCAGCGATTGCTCCGAGATCTTGTGGCTGATGTCAATGGAATGGTAGAACTGAGTTTGTTTTCCCCCATTTTCTGCAATGGAGCTACTGCACTAGTGTATGAAACAAGATCACCAAATTCATGTACATACCCTTACCTACATCAGAACAATGAGGATCAACAACATTTGATGAGTCAGATTCATCGTCCCATACATTCTGCATTTGGAATTTAGAGTGGTAATCAAGTGCTTCCTAAAATCGGGATAAACCAAGAAAGAGGATATATTTGTGAAGGGAACAGGCAAGCAGGATGAGATTTGATTTGAAAATTTTCCAAAATGGCATTATGAAGAGAACATTTATCGTACAAAATAAGAATTTATCAAATTGAAATTAAGATGTATTTGTGATTTAAATATTTTAAATGGAGAATGGTTTTTTAAATTTTATTTGTAATTGATTTTTTTTAATTTTTGTATTTCATTTCAATTTAAATGAATATAGATAAAACAGGTAATTTGAAGCAAATTAGAAAAAAAATAAAAACAATGAAAAAAAGTATGGCTCGACAGCTGCTAAAGATGTCATTGACCACCGCTAAAAAATCACACGTCGGACTTATAGCGGCAGGCAATTTAGCATTGTATTTTTAGCGGTAGTTTTGTATTTGTACCGGCAGTCATGGAAACTACCGCTAGAACTTCTAGCGATAATTGTTTTAATGGTTGTTTGTTGGCTGCCAGTAAAATCTATAGCAACAACTTTAGGTACCTTTAGTGGCTGCTAAAAGTCATTTTTCTTGTAGTGTGAATAAGAGAGGAAAAGGGGAAGAAAAAGTATTCAAAATGGTTAATGGTAACCCTTGTCAAAAGAATGTAAAATGCTATGAAGTTGTTAATCAAGGTGATTTACCTTTCAAGAAGATACCTTCCTTTCGATTGTGTATTAATGAAAATGAAGTTTGAGAAGTAAACAATCTCTAACTACCAAATTTACTATTGAAAGAAAAAATAAGCTATAAATTCATATGAAATAAATGAGGGGATCACAAGCATACATTCCTCTAATTGACCTTTAGGTTAGAATTCGAGGGGATCCCTATGGAGTTATTGACTAAGGACAACCTAAGGGTCATCTTAGAAAATGTGGGCCACCTCATCAAATTTGGTGAGAACACCCTATCACAAGAAAGGATTGTCTTTGCAAGAGTCCTTTGAGCTCAATTATTATTGAAGTCACAGCCGGTAGGAGGTGGTCAAACCACTACATATGAAATCATTTATGAAAATGTGAGCAACATTTGAACCTCTTGTGGTTGTATATGTCATAGAAACTTCCAGTGTGGAGCCATGCAAAACAAGACAAGTGTGGATATATAGAATAAAGTAATTTACTATAGTAGGAATTTGAAGAACTTTTTAGCTAACAAAAGAAATGAGAAAGGTCATGTGGCTGGTAGGGAGGCATTTAGGAAGCCGGACCATTTACTCGTGGAGTTTAGATGCTTCAACTGAAAATGAGTAGGGTCTCAAATAGTGCCACTGCCACCACTATTGATCCCATGCATATCCAAATGAGATGGACCCTGAAAAAAAAATAATGATTATCATCGAGACACTTCAACTGAAAGAGGTTTGGAGGAGAATAATAGGAGTTTAGATCTACGTCCCACAATGTCTCATATCACATTCTTACCGTGTATTAGGAATATTTTTGATACATTACAACATCATTTTTGATACATTATCGAGAGATGTTTTCAATACATGACGGGATGTACTGTGGGAGGTTGTAGGGCACTCCTTGTGGAGCGCAGATTTAAACTCTATTAATAAGGCCAGTAATGATCAAACCGAGGACAAAGAAAAGATAATGAGATGGATTTGTTGGGAGAGGAAGATGGAAAAACAATGGTATATCCAAAACAATGAGTATGGTTTTAGTGCTTGGTTGAGTAGTTGTCCCATAGCTTCGGTGATTGATATTAAGGGCTAAGAGATAGTGAAGGTGAGGGATGAGGATCGGGACCTCTACTTCATTAGCTAATCCACAAGGTTATAATCATTGCTTGGAATGTCAGTGGGCATGGAAACCCTATTCAATGCTAATTAACACAATAAGCTCCTTAATGAAACTCATTGTCTGGATTTATTTTTGTGTGTGTGTGTGAAACTAGGGTGAGTCCAAGCAATTTTTTTAGATATTTGAAGTTTGATATTTTTTTTATTGTGAACCACATAGGCTATTAGGGGGGTCTGTATACGGTGGAAGCATAACAATATTAATATGAATATCATCTTGTCTAATGATAGATTAATCCATGTTCATATGTGATGTAGCGCGATCTGGTCACTCCTACCTGTTAGGGATTTCGCTCCTAACTGGTAGCGACTTCGCTCCTATCTGGCAACGGACAACACCTTAGAAGGAGAAGATGACAGTGAAGGATTCCTAGGGAGTTCGCCCGACGGGAACACTCCGATGCTTAAGTTAAGAACTGTGGAGAATAGTAAAAGAGCTAAGAGTGCAGATAGCGCAAGATCACCTTGTTCAAGTCACCCCTGTCCCTTGAGGACCTGGACCCTTATATACTGATGTTTCGTCAAATCGGGTGTAACTGCCATTTGATCCTCTACTACAGCCATTATCGCCAGGCTGATTTGATTGGGGCAGGTATCCGTCGCAGTGTACGGTCCTGTTAGTAGAGAGACGTTATGCAGGGCCGGTGTGTACCACGCCGCCTGACGCGAGACGTGGGAGCAGTCCTCTAGACTGGCAGGTTCTGCGCTGTCAGACAAGAGACGTGGAAGCAGTCTGACAAGCACGGTCTTGTCGGGTAGGAAGCTTTCTGAAGACTTCGAGTTATTCAATAACAAGCTCCTTTGCAGCGAGCTCCCCTGTAATGAACTCCTTTGTGGCGAACTCCTTTGTAGCGAGCTGCCTCGAACTGTAGCGAGTTGTCTTGTAAGTTATTCTGCTGGGGTTCCAGTGAGCTCGTTACGTCAAGTTTTGTCCGAGATGTCATGCTGAGCTGTCACTCACGCTGAGTCATGTCCATGTGTCACTTGGTTAGGAGGTCGGGTCAAAACACCCTCCATCGATTGCCCCCCACTCCTTGGGCTAAGGGTCTTGCCTTAGCGCGGGGAGTTCGTGAAGTGATGGGTGGATTTGACCCGTAATTCAAATTAGGTTGACTGTTCGCATGATGTACACGCGCGGGTGTCAGACAATTTCTGGATTTTTTCGTGTGCCAAAAAATGCGCGAAACTGCATTCAATTTGGGAAGACGTGCAGCCGTCTCTTCTTCAGTTTCGGAGGACGTGCAACTGGCTTTATTGTAAGCCATTGGATCTTCTTTGATCGAGGCCATTGGTTTTTCTGGCACAATGGCTATAAATAGGAGGGCCCCAGGCCTCATTTTCCTTACGCCAACTTGCCTTGCATTCAATTTTGAGGTCGCGCCTTCGCCTTGCTTGCTCGAGCTCTCCTTGTTCTTCGTCGCTTTCTCAGCCTACCTTTCCGGTGAGTCTTCTATTTCTGTCCAAACAATGTCTGGGTACCTAGAAGGACGGTCTTCAGAGGCTCGGGAAACCTCCGGTAACTCTGCTTCTACTTCCCGGGATAGCTTCGGCCCCTCTTCCATGTTAATGGAGAGACTTCGGGCCTTAGTCTTTCAGTATGACCTCCCCAGGGATCTTATCTACAACCTCTCGTCTGGTAACTACCCCTGGGAACATGGTCACGACGAGATCGTGATCTTCGAGGAGCAGCTCGTGGCTGGTCTCCGGCTTTCGCTACACCCTCTAATAGTGGAGGTTCTTTGTCATTTCAATATCACCATTGACCAACTGCATCCGAACTCTGTTCGAAACCTAGTGGGAACTATTTCCTTGTTTTTTGAATATTGTCTTCCTCTTTCTCTTGATATTTTTGCCACCATTCTATCAATCAAGAATGCCTCCCCTGGAGCTCCTCCAGAGAGGCGTTCTTATTACTTCTCCCCCCGCCCCGGCTTCAAGCTCCTTCACGACCTACCCAATAAGATCCTGGCCTGGAAGTGGGGTTATTTTATAGTTCGCAACCCCGAGGGGTGGCCATTTCCAACTCATTGGAGGGCCGCCATCTAGGATCTGGGCATTGAGTTGGACCCGAAGATTCGGGAGACGTTGCAGTCCTGGGCAGGGGTCGGTTTTCTCTGTTTGGACTACTTGGCAGAGGACAAGCTCGTGCAGGCCGGCCTGAGCCCCGGTAGGTTACCTTTAGGTTGCCATTTTTTTTTTTTGCGAACTAGACTAATGCCTTGTAAATCTTGCAACCAACATGTATGGTGTGGATGCATGTCGCCTGCTATCGAGCAACCAGAAGCGCAGGGCAAAGAGGTCGCTCCCTGACCAAGCGTCCACCTCTGGGACCAATGAGTTCAAGGCTGCTGACCTAGCCTTTGTTTCGTCGCCCGAGGTCCCTCCTATGTCGTTCGAGGGAGTAGCCGCAGGGGGCGGCGAAGAAGAAGAGGTCCCACCCAGGGGCAGTACCCTCCTGCTGCACGGTCCGGTCCCACTGTCTTTTCGCGGTTCCCTACCGCGGGGAGGGACGAAAGCGTCACTAACTTCCTCGTGGCTGCGCGGAGGAGCCGACAGGCGGCCAGCAATGAAGACGTCGCGAGCTGGGCCGGGATGCATCACAGGGAGCTCGCCAAGGTGGCCTCGGCTCACTGCATGGTGGTAACTGCCC